TTAGCACAGATGAGATGCGTTTTTCTCGCTATTTATGGAAACCGAAAGGAGTCATAACTAACCACCCCAGTGACTTTCTATAGCCCCCCTACACACTTTGTCCATTGTGCTGACACAGCGCAGCGGATATACAGATTTTGCGCCAACCTGTCACTCAATCATTTTTGTATATTTTTATATAGGGACATACAACTAAAACTGAGGGGGCACAAGTTTCAACTGAGAGGGGGTTAAGCCCGGGTCTACTTAATACCCGCCTAAATTAAATTGGAGGGTTCAGAAAGGTAGTTTTCAATACCCCATCATACATTTCTGTGTCATTAGGAGCAGAGAGGTCAGGGGTTAGAGGTCAAAGTCTCACGCTCTCCCATGTTTGGGTTCAGTATGAGCACGTTCCAGATACAAAATCCTTATTTCATGTAGATGTGGTAGTAAGTAAGTAGCTTCCTGCCATCCAGGACCTCTATACCAGGCGGTGTCAGAGGAAGGCCCTCAAAATTGTCAAAGACTCCAGCCACCCTAGTCATAGACTGTTCTCTCTGCTACCGCACGGCAAGCGGTACCGGAGTGCCAAGTCTAGGTCCAAAAGACTTCTCAACAGCTTCTACCCCCAAGCCATAAGACTCCTGAACAGCTAATCATGGCTACCCGGACTATTTGCACTGCCCCCCCCCCCCCAACCCCACCCCCACCCCCAACCCATATTTTTACACTGCTGCTACTCTGTTAATTATTTATGCATAGTCACTTTAACTCTACCCACATGTACATATTACCTCAACTACCTCAACTAGCCGGTGCCCCCGCACATTGACTCTGCAACGGTACCCCCCTGTATATATAGCCTCCCTACTGTTATTTTATTTTAGTTCTTCTTTTTTTCTCAACACTTTTTTTGTTGTTGTTTTATTTTACTTTTTTATAAAAAAATTAATGCATTGTTGGTTAAGGGCTGTATTAAGCATTTCACTGTAATGTCTACACCTGTTGTATTCGGCGCATGTGGCCAATAAAATTAGATTAGATTTGATTTGAACCTTTGCCTGCTCATAATTGGTTAAAATCGCATGATTCACACCCGATGATGTCATCAGTGTCTCTGGATGATGTCATCGGAAAAAACGTATCTTCTATCTTTGTGACTACAAAACATAGAAACCCGCCGTTTTCATATGTTGATGTTGGGGTGGTGCTGGAGATTACGTTATTTTCCCTTTAAACACTTCTCCAGGCATTGTAAAACCAGATATTCTGTGCAATATAGATGTGTTCCCATGTTGTGTACTAGTGTAGTTAAGTGTCACTGGATCTTTGACCACTGCAGCTATTTTTGTCCCCAGCTGGCAGGAGTCCCAGTCTGGCTGCAGGCATGTGCTCAAGAGAGGTAATAGACCCTCAGTCAAACCTGCTTTACCTAGACACACATGGTCACAGATAGACTGGCATTTTTCACACTTATATCAAAGATTTTATAACTAAACCAAGATAGACCAGATCCCGTCGTTTCAAATGGGAACAAATGAGTCATAGTGGGCAGAACAAGCAAGGAGGTGCGCAGAGCCAAGCACGAGCTAGCGAGATCCTATTGGCACGCTCTAGCATGCATTTGCATATTTCTGTTAGTGAATGCCTTCTCTCTGAAGTGCGCGTGTGCATTAACTCCATTCGCCTTTGCACTCCTTCTAAACAACATCATTTTAAAAAATTTTGGCGAAGGATAAAGTCTACAAAACTTAGTCCACACTGTTCGTAACATATTCTAGTTTTGGGAACAGAAAACTGAATTGCGATCAAATGTTTCATTGATGAGAAAATTAGCAGAATGTCGGCCAAAATCCATCTCATTCCATCTTCTCCCACTACCGGCAACTGGGCTTCCTCTCACTACCATATTTGGTAGTGAGTGGAAACGCCAAGCGGATGCTTCAAATTTATACATCCAGTGAAATATCTGTCTCATTGTTCTATCTGTACTTATATGTATATGTATACACACATACATCTAACAGCCACTTTCTAATGCATACAGACTTCATGCCTATTGGCCACAGGCAAACATGCATATTTGTCAGTTATACACAGGAGGAAAATCTTCTCACTAGATTTCACAATTTTTACAAGTCACATTTTACGAGGCTAAACCCTCCGTCACTAGGTCAGGATGTGTGCGTGTGTGTGAGCCCATAGGCACGTGCAAATAACAGAGTGTGTGTTCGTGCAAATGAGGTGTTTGAGCACGGCCTCTGTCAGTCCCTGCTCTCTGATACCTGATAGGTCCACGGTGTGAGTCAGACAAACAGCAATACGGTCAATTCAGGGGTCACTACTCTACTCACCACTCATTTTTCCTCTTTGTCCCTCTTTAATTCTTCTCTACACCAATCCCTTATTCCTCTCTCTCTCCTCAGGACAGGTAGATCTTTCCACCCACACTAACAGGGAAACTGTCCCTGTTTTTCCTCAAGCAGTTATTGGTCATTTACTGTATGGTCAGAATGAGGTACTAACGGATTACATGTAACCGGGATTACGTAATCAGACTACAAAAATGAAGTAACTGTAATCAACCCAGAAACATTTATAAATAGAAGTAATCTGATTACAGTTACATTCTTAAAAGCAGCGGATTACATTTTGGATTACATCATCTAATGTCAAGATGTGGGCTTCAAGTGTTTGCCTCAAACACACTGAGATGGCATGGTTTTGAAAGCTGCGCTGAGCCACACAGTTTGGAAGTCACCTTTCAGTGGGAATGGAAGCTTTTCCCTTTTTTTCTAATCTATTTGAAATCTCCAAAACTGCAATATTTGCTCTCCTTGGTTGCTTTCCACATAAACTTTTTTTAACCAAAAAACGTCAGACCCCCATTTACTGAGAGCTATCATCAGGATTTTGCAATATGGGACATTTTTGATTAGTCAGCACAGCCCCATCCTGTTCACTTCCCAAGCACAAATCAGCTGCTTACTCGGCTAAACCTCTAGTTTCAGTGGAAATGAGTTCACTCAAATCTACCCTTCTTTCTTTGCAGTAGTGCTGAGCGATTAGTGCTTTTTGAGGTCAATTCGGTTTCAGTTAGATTATTCCAAAAATAATCACGGTTTTCGATTTCGGTTTCGATTTTTAAAAAACAACATTAAATGCACTATGCATTATGTGGGTTGAATGCTGTAACAACACAGAATAAAACTATTAATAAAAGTCCCATTACTGCTTATCACTTATTAACCATAATTGATTTACATTACTTGAATAAAATATTTCAGTTGTTGCGTATATAATAAAACAATTATTTGATTACTTTATTTTTTCATTCCGAGTCATCTCATCTCTAGCTGCTGCCTATACTGACTGACCAAATCACTATTTTCTAGTTCTTCAAAGTAAATAAGGCATACTTTTATGACTGCTGAATACCAATTATCAATCACTTAGATCATGTATTTTCAGGTAGACTTCCTTACAAAGCAACTGCTCTCATTCACGCATTCTAACGTAGCAGGCGTAAAAGAAACACACAGACCGGACAAGTAGGCGCACAAAGGATTATGGTCATTGTAGTTAATTACCAGGTTTTCTGCACTAAACTATGTAGAATATTAGCCTGTTGGAAACTACAACTCCCTACTACATCGCACAGTTCAGGCTTGATCTGATTTATCTCTAGAGAAACAGGCAATGTGCGCATTGAGCTCACAGAAAATAAACGAGTGAAATGGATTTCAAATAATTGAAACCGACAAAAAACGATAAATAACCGACATTTTGGTTAATCGCTCAGCACTACTTTACAGACAGATCTATGTGTTTTTGCAAACTTAGAATAGTCTACATTCAGAGTATTTGCACAATTGATCATCCAACTCATGAAATATTAAGATTTCTCTTGGATCCGTTATATCTGTCTATTCAAATCTTTATCATACCAGTCTGTTATGTTAAGGGTGGATCAGACATTCAAATGACCATTTCCTCTTTTACTGGCCACAATCTTATTTTTCAAGTAATCCGCCCAACCCTGAGTATGGTGTTAATGAAACTTGATAGGATACTCCTCTTGCTTAGCTATATGTTTTATAGAAAGTCAATGTCAACATATTCAGGGATTATAACAGAATTGGCAGAGAAACCATTCAGCACAGCGTCCTTCCGGAAACCAGAGTTATGTTGTTGCCATGATGGTGGTGATGATGAGTCAGTCATGTGGTTAACCTCACTGTCAGTATTAGTATCCCACAGAGAATCACTCTCAGTAGTAGGATCCCACAGAGAATTTGTATTTCTGTCCCTCTCTGAGCTCAGATGAAAGTGAGGAGGAAAGTAGCTGCATACTTAAAAAAACATCCTTTCTTGCTTTGATATGTTGTTGTTTTTTTGTCGACCTTTGAAGTTGCTGATGCAAAATTGAAGTTCTGTAGGGAGAGTGTGTGCAGTACTTAATTCTAAAATAAAGGATTGTTAAATGTTAAACTCTCTCTAATCTTCCCGGAAGGGGGGGAAGGAAGGGACAACCAGAGAGGGGGAAGAGGAAAAAAGAAGCGAGAGAGGCAGAAAAAGATAGAAGAGGAAAAAGCGAGCGCGAGAGAGAAAAAAAGACGAGAGACAGGGAGGAGAGAAACGAAGAGAGGAAGCGGAGAGAAGAGAGAGAGAGAGAGAAAAAGAGAGAGGAGGAGAAGAAAAGAGAAGAGAGAGAAGAAAAAGAGAAGAGAAAAGAGAGAGAGAGGAGAGAAGAAAAGAGAGAGGAAGAAAAAAAGAGAGAGGCATCGAGAGAGAGAGAGATAGAGAGAGAGAGAAGAGGAGAGAGCGAGCGAGAGAGACGGTGAGAGAGAAAGGAAGAGCGCTCGAAGAGAGAGAGAGTGTCGAGACGAGAAAAGAGAGGGGTCTCGAAGGGGAGAGAGTCAGGACTCTCTCTCTCTCTCTGTCTACTCTCTCGTCTCTCTCCCTCTCTGTCTCTCCTCCCTCTCGCTCTCTCTCTCGCGCTCTCTCTCTCCCCCCAGAGCAGCGATGGCTCCTTCTCTGGCACAGGCCTATCGTAGGCGCTGGTGGATGGCGGTGACTGCGGTCATAGAGAACCTGCTGTTCTCTGCTGTGCTGCTGGGCTGGGGATCGCTACTCATCATGCTCAAGAACGAGGGCTTCTACTCACACCTCTGCATAAGTACGTCCCCATCCATGGTAACACTCACACAGGGATACTGTATACTTCAGGGTTGGGGTCAATTCCAGTCATTTCAGAAAGTAGACCAAATGCCAATTCAAAATGTTCCTCATTGAAAAGCATTGAAGAAAATGTCATTGTACTTCCTGAACTGTCTGGAATTGAAATGGAATGAACCCCAGGTATACATAAACCTGTGCATAGATACTGTGGGGGGTGAATCCTAACTACCACTGATATCAATGCATGACTAAGTGAAAATTCAACTCCAGTGGAAGTTGGGATTCGCAACCTGAATACATCCATATATATATTTCTATAGCATATGTGGTTCCCTGTGTCTTGTATAGTTCTTAACTCCCCTCTCTCTCGTCCCCCTTCTTACCCTTCACCTGCTCCCCCTTACTCTTCCACACCCTTCGCTCCCCCTCCCTCCACTCTACCCTTCCCCCCCCCCTCCTCCAACCCTTACCTCACCTGCTCCCCCTCTCTCCCACCTCCTACCCTTACCTGCTCCCCCTCTCTTCTCACCTCCTACCCTTCTCTTCCCCCCTCTCTCTCTCCACCCTTCCCTCACACTGCTCCCCCTCTCTCTCCACCTCCTACCCTCATGCTCCCCCCTTCTCTCTCACCCCTACCCTTCACCTGCTCTCCCCCCCTCTCTCTCCACCTCTCTCCACCACCCCCTCCCAGACAATGAGACAGTGTTCAGTAACATCAGTTCGTGGGAAAGTGGTATCTGGCATAGCTGCGTGGACCAGGAAGAGATGTTGAATCTGGGCTTTACCATTGGCTCCTTCCTGCTGAGTGCAGCCACTCTGCCGCTAGGTATCCTGATGGACAAGTACGGGCCCCGCCCACTCCGCCTCCTTGGCAGGTAAAAGACGGGATACATCATCATCATCATCATTATTATTATTATTACAATCATCATTATCGCAATTATCATTGAGCATTGTCATCATTATTTTTTAAACAATTATCATCTTCATCATCTTCATCATCATGACCATAATCATTATCTTCACAACCATCGTCATCATTGTCGTCATCAGTCAGCATCATCGTCAACTCTCTCTCTTGCAGTGCGTGTTTTGCTTTCTCTTGTGCCATGATAGCTGCAGCTGCCTATAACCCTGAAGGTAAGAATCCTCAGCCACTGTGAGTCACTGTAAATGAACACTAAATGTACAGAAAATGACATGAAACACAACATCTGCTTATGACATTACACTGCACATATAGATCTCACTAACTCTGCTCTCTTCCTCTTGTCTCCTCCTCCCGTTCCTCCTCCAGTACTCTCGGCCCTCATCTTCATCGCAGTCTCCTTCAACGGCTTTGGAGGAATCTGCCTCACCTTCACCTCCCTCACGGTAACACACACACACACACCATCATTCTCCCCTACATGGACACAACAACTGCATATCCAAAGCTACCAAGTTCCCAGAACACACCAGAGGCTGGTGGGAGGAGCTATAGGAGGACGGGCTCATTGTAATGGCTGGAATGGAATCAATGTAACGGTATCAAAAAGATCAAACATATGGAAACCACGTTTGACTCCGGTACATTTATTCCATTCCAGCCATTACAATGAGCCCCTCCTCCTATAGCTCCTCCCACCACTCATGATCAAAACCTCCCGCCACCTGAACAGTTTCTTACCCCTGGCTGTGGCCCTCACCAACTGGCCATCTGGCCCATAGAGACTAAAGGACTGCACTCTATGCTGCACCCCGCATTAAGCAATTTCTGAACTGTACACAAAATAACTGCACTATACTGCATTTGCACTCTGTTCATCTCTCTGCATTTAGATAAATTCATACTGATACTGTAAATGTGTACATCCACTGTATATCAACCGTATACCCACTGTATATCAACCGTACACCCAATGTATATCAACCGTATACCCACTGTGTATCAACCGTATACCCACTGTATATCAACCGTATAACCACTGTATATCAACCGTATACCCACTGTATATCAACCGTATACCCACTGTATATCAACCGTATACCCACTGTATATCAACCGTATAACCACTGTATATCAACCGTATACCCACTGTATATCAACCGTATACCCACTGTGTATCAACCGTATACCCACTGTATATCAACCGTATACCCACTGTATATCAACCGTATAACCACTGTATATCAACCGTATACCCACTGTATATGTGTATATCTGCTCATTCTCTTATAGCTCTATGCTCACTCTACCTAGTTGTATATAATGTATGTAAACTTTATTTAAACTCCGCTGTCTGTATTCTGTCTCTAAATGTTGTCTATCACTAGCTTCACCATATCACCAAGTACAATTCTGAGTATGTGTAAATGTACTTGGCGAATAAAGGTGATTCTGATTCTGACCAGCCTCCTCTGAAACATACATATGTTAGTTATTATAACCATAGAAATAGATTATATGGATATAACTAACTATATACTGAGTGTACAAAACATTAAGACTGACCAGGTGAATCCAGGTGAAAGCTATGATCCCTTATTGATGTCACCTGTTAAATCAACTTCAGTCCGTGTAGATGAAGGGGAGGAGGACAGGTTCAAGAAGGATTTGTAAGCCTTGAGACAATTGAGACATGGATTGTGTATGTGTGCCATTCAGAGGGTGAATGGGGAAGACAAATATTTAAGTGCCTTTGAACAGTCTATGGTAGTAGGTGCCAGGCGTACCGGTTTGTGTCAAGAACTGCAACGCTGCTGGGTTTTTCACGCTCAACAGTTTCCCGTGAGTATCAAGAATGATCCACCACCCAAAGGACATCCAGCCAACTTGACACAACTGTGGGAAGCATTGGAGTCAACATTGGCCAGCATCCCTGTGGAACCTTTTCAACACCTTGTAGAGTCCATGCCCAATGAATTGAGGCTGTTCTGAGGGCAAAAGGGGGTACAACTTAATATTAGGAAGGTGTTCCTTATGTTTTGTACACTCAGTGTATATAAGGTATACTGTAGCTATTGCTATTATACACTATATTACGGTATATGGATGTCTGTTGGTGTTTTGGGAGGATGTATACTTTACATAATATATACATTATTTGTGTTTTTCTCTGCGTATAAATGTGATTGATTGTGGGTGTGTGTGTTGGCCATTCAGAGTGTCCACGGCACATGCTGTTCTGCTCCTGGCTCTAAATTCTGGCACACGTCCGTCGCCCAATCAGATCACTGGGCTGTCGACACGCCTCGTCCCTGCCCCCCACCCCATCCCAAAACACACAAGGACACGGTCTCTCCCTATCTCCCCCTCTCTTTCTCTCCGCCCCCTCTCTCGCTCTCTCTCTCTCTGTCTGTCTGTCTCTCTCTCTCTCTCTTCTCTCTCTCTCTCTCTCGCTCTCTCTCTCTCTCTCTCTCTCTTTCTCTTTTCCTCTTTCTCTGTATATACACACACTGTAACCCCCCTGGTCTGTGCCAGTAGTTTCAGCTGTTCAAGGCCCTTTCGTTCCATTGAGCTAATCGTCCGTCAGTCCTTCCGTCCTTCCGTCCGTCAGTCCGTCAATATTAGGTACATAAGCTATATGACCTTACATTCTCCACATATCCCGTTTCCATTTTCATTGTTGTAGAATGTTGTTCCGGTTCTGCTTTTTCTTGAGTTCACCCATCTTCTTACCCTCTCTCTGTCTCTCTACCTCACAAACACATACATGTATGCATACCCACCAGTGGAGGCTGGTGGGAGGAGCTATAGGAGGACGGGCTCATTGTATGGCTGGAATGGAATAAATGGAATGTAGTCAAACATGTGGTTTCCATATGTTTGGTACCGTTCCATTAATTTCATTCCTGCCATTACAATGAGCCCATCCTCCTATAGCTCCTCCCACCAGCCTCCTCTGATACCCCTACATGACAGGGCTCTACGCTGACCTTTTTTACAAGGAGCACGTGTGCGCCTATGATGAAAAATGTAGGCGCACACAAAGTAATTTAGGAGCACAATGAAAAATATAGGATTAAATTAAACTTCCAGGTCGCAGCAAAATATTTAAGCGCATATGCGAGTAAAATGGTTGGACTGTTGAGCCTAGTCATTCGTTCCATCCACCTAAATCGGCCCTTTTGTTCCATCCACCTAAATCATATCAACCTTTCGTTCTGTCTGCCTGTCTCTGTCTGTTAGTCCATGTCCATGTTAGTGTGTGTGGGGGCACATAGCTGAGGCCCCTGAATACATCAGATAGGTAATTAAGACCGAGCTGTAGCTCGGCCCTGACCCCTACACTGACCTACAAGATCTGGAGAGAGAATGGTCATGGTCATGGGGCGACTTTTTCCGTACCTCTGCTAAGACCTGACCAGGGAAAACTGCAGGTCCTAGTTATTGGCTAAAAGTACACTCTTAGAAAAAGGTTTCTATGTAGTGCCAAAAAGGGTTCTATCACTTCATATAGCAACCCTTTAGGTTCCTATAGGTTCTATATATATATATAAAAAAATTAAGGGAACACTAAAATAACACATCCTAGATCTGAATGAATGAAATAATCTTATTAAATACTTTTTTCTTTACATAGTTGAATGTGCTGACAACAAAATCATACAAAAATTATCAATGGAAATCAAATTTATCAACCCATGGAGGTCTGGATTTGGAGTCACCCTCAAAATTACAGTGGAAAACCACACTACAGGCTGATCCAACTTTGATGTAATGTCCTTAAAACAAGTCAAATGAGGCTCAGTAGTGTGTGTGGCCTCCACGTGCCTGTATGACCTCCCTACAATGCCTGGGCATGCTCCTGATGAGGTGGCGGATGGTCTCCTGAGGGATCTCCTCCCAGACCTGGACTAAAGCATCCGCCAACTCCTGGACAGTCTGTGGTGCAATGTGGCGTTGGTGGATGGAGCGAGACATGATGTCCCAGATGTGCTCAATTGGATTCAGGTCTGGGGAACGGGCGGACCAGTCCATAGCATCAATGCCTTCCTCTTGCAGGAACTGCTGACACACTCCAGCCACATGAGGTCTAGCATTGTCTTGCATTAGGAGGAACCCAGGGCCAACCGCACCAGCATATGGTCTCACAAGGGGTCTGAGGATCTCATCTCGGTACCTAATGGCAGTCAGGCTACCTCTGGCGAGCACATGGAGGGCTGTGCGGCCCCCCAAAGAAATGCCACCCCACACCATGACTGACCCACCGCCAAACCGGTCATGCTGGAGGATGTTGCAGGCAGCAGAACGTTCTCCACGGCGTCTCCAGACTCTGTCACGTCTGTCACGTGCTCAGTGTGAACCTGCTTTCATCTGTGAAGAGCACAGGGCGCCAGTGGCGAATTTGCCAATCTTGGTGTTCTCTGGCAAATGCCAAACGTCCTGCACGGTGTTGGGCTGTAAGCACAACCCCCACCTGTGGACGTCGGGCCCTCATACCACCCTCATGGAGTCTGTTTCTGACCGTTTGAGCAGACACATGCACAGAAGTGTGATTGACTTGGAGTTACATTGTGTTCTTTAAGTGTTCCCTTTATTTTTTTGAGCAGTGTATATATATATATATATATATATATATATATATATATATATATATATATAGAGAGAGAGAGAGAGAGAGAGAGAGAGAGAGAGAGAGAGAGAGAGAGAGAGAGAGAGAGAGAGAGAGAGAGAGAAATGGGGGGAAGAGAAAGGGATGGAAAAATAGAGAGGGGAGTGATAAGAATGGAAAAACAGGGAGAGAGACTGTTGTGGAAAACAGGAGGGATCTAGAGAGGGAGAGCGCAGGATAAGGGGGAAGAGAGGGATGGGGAGGGGAGGAGAGGGGAGGGGAGCAGTCTGTCCTCAGTTAAACTTAGAAAGTGACCAACTGGAAGTAGGGTGTCAAAGTGTGTGTGTGTTTTGCTTCTTCCTGTTTTTGTTTTTTTATACAATGTTGTGTTTATTGTTAAAGAGAGAGACCTGCCCAAGCCTCTGAAGATTTTTTTGTTTTTTAAGGAGTGGTAATTCCCACCCTTTTTGTATTTTCTGATTTTTATTGAACAGATAGTGAAGGGATGACAGAGGGGAAAGATATACAGAGTTATTGTTTATATAAATGATTTATATAACTTGTTTACATAGTTGCTGTCTTTATAGATTCTGGTTGTAATGCACATCTTTAAATAGAGGTTAACACAATGGTGTTTATATATCTCTTTAAGCTCAGCTTGGCACAGTGTGGAGTGACATAGTTTGCATCCGAAATGGCACCCTATTCCCTACATAGTGGTCAAAAGTAGTGCACTATATAGGGAATAGGGTGCTACTTCAAATCGTAATACATATCTATATAGAGAAGTGCAAACAGTGTTGTAGCTCTGAGTCTGTATGTTTATACAATGTAAAAAAAAGAAGCTTATCACTTAAATTTGATTAAAGTCCCCATAGAGAAATTTAGTCACAATTATGGTATGTATTTAAGCTCAGTGTGCTGATACAGTATGTGCTGTCACTATATTTAACTTGTGTTTATACCAGCAAAGTAGCTTGACTATTTACCGCTCCGTGCAGCGAACATTCATGTAAGCTCGCGAGATCAGGCGACTTGCGAGGCTACCAGGAAAGCCCTCGGTGGTAAACAGGATGTTTTCCAAAGGGAGAGTGGTGCTGACACACAGCCTGATGTGATGTATGTTGTTATCTGTGTGTCTGCGTGTCTTTGTATCTGTATAGGCTGGCATTGGCACAGAGTCGTTGGCACGACGTAGGGGGAAATATTCACAGCTGTTGTGTGTTTGTGTGTGTGTGTTGGGCATTACTTCAGCAGGTTAAGGAGAACTCACTGCTTCGACTGTGCCACCTGCACAATTTCACACACATTCACAGCAACAAATGCATTTTTGGCACGCAGACACTCACTCAGTACTTGCACCAAGTCCTCCAACAGAGAAAAGAGAAGGGAGAGAAGGAGTGAGGAAAATAGGAAGGCAGCTACAAGACTTCTTGTATGGCATTTGTTTATTCATTACCCCATATGTCCACATTTTCTACATTTTCCAAGTTAAATCTTTAGTTTTGCAAAAGTGCCAGCAACCCAAAACGCCTAAAATCAACCTTGTACTGTGTAGCAATATTATATGCCAAGTCAGAGGTTGTGAATATAAAGCAAGGCTATTCCCCCTGCCTCAGGCTAGCATGTGTCTCCTAAAACAGCAGAGGAACTGATCTAACACATTTAGCAATGCTGTGTATGCGGACCCTCTCCATAAAGATGAACAGCTCATATCACCACCTGGTGTTACTTTCGTAGAATTGCATCTTGAGCACTTACAGTGCCTTTAGGAAGTATTCACACCCCTTTACTTGAGCACTTACAATGCCTTTAGGAAGTATTCACACCCCTTTACTTGAGCACTTACAATGCCTTTAGGAAGTATTCACACCCCTTTACTTGAGCACTTACAATGCCTTTAGGAAGTATTCACACTCCTATACTTGAGCACTTACAATGCCTTTAGGAAGTATTCACACCCCTATACTTGAGCACTAACAATGCCTTTAGAGAGTATTCACACTCCTTTACTTGAGCACTTACAATGCCTTTAGGAAGTATTCACACCCCTTTACTTTCCCCAATTGTTTTTGTTAGAGCCTGAATTTAAAATGGATTGCATTTATATTTTGTGTCACTGATCTACACACAATACCCCATAATGTCAAAGTGGAATTTTGTTGTATAATTTTTTTTACATGTTTTACAAAATGTCAAGCTGAAATGTCTTGAGTCAATAAGTATTCAACCCATTGTTATGGCAAGCCTAAATAGGTTCAGGAGTAAAAATGTGCTTAACAAATCACATAATAAATTGCATGGACTCTGTGCTCAATAATAGTGGTTAATATGATTTTTGAATGACTACCCCATCTCTGTACCTCCCACATACAATTATCTGTAAGGTCCCTAAATCGAGTAGTGAATTTCAAGCACAGATTCAACCACAAAGACCAGGGAGGTTTTTCAATGCCTCGCAAAGAACGGCACCGATTGGTAGATGTGTAAAAATAAAGAAAAGCAGACATTGAATACATTTGAGCAAGGTGAAGTTATGAATTACACTTTGGATCATGTATCAATACACCCAGTCACTACAACGATACAGGTGTCCATCCTAACAGTTACTGGAGAGGAAGGAAACTGCTCAGGGATTTCACCATGAGGCCAATGGAGATTTTAAAACAGTTACAGTGTTTAATGGTTGTGATATGAGAAACACTGAAGATGGATCAACAACATTGTAGTTACTCCACAATACTAACCTAAATTACAGAGTGAAAAGAAGGAAGCCTGTACAGAATAAAATATTCAAAAACATGCATCCTGTTTGCAACAAGGCAATTAAGTAATACTGCAAAAAATGTGACAAAGAAATAAACTTTTTGTCCTGAATATGAAGCGTAATGTTTGGGGCAAATCCAACACAACACAACACTGAGTACCATTCTTCATATTTTTAAGCGTGGTGGTGGCTGCATCATGTTATGGGTATGCTTGTCATCAGCATTGTTTATAAAAAGAAAGGAATACAGCTGTAAGCAAAATCTTAGAGGAAAACCTGGTTCAGCCTGCTTTCCAACAGACACTGGGAGATGAATTCACCTTTCAGCAGGACAATAACCTAAAACACAAGGCCAAATCTACACTGGAGTTGCTTACCAAGACGACATTGAATGTTCCTGAGTGGCCTAGTTACAGTTTTGACTTAAATCAGCATGAAAATCTATGGCAAGACATGAAAATGGCTGTCCAGCAATGATCAACAATCAACTTGACAGAGCTTGAAGATTTTTTAAAAAGAATAATGGGCAAATATTGTACAATCCAGGTGTGTAAAGCGCTTAGAGCTTACCCAAATAGACTCACAGCTGTAATTGCCGCCAAAAGTGCTTCTACAAAGTACTGACTCAGGGGTGTGAATACTTATGTAAATTAGAAATTTCTGTATTACATTTTCAATCAATTTGCAAAAATGTCTAAAAACATGTTTTCACTTTGTCATTATGGGGTATTGTGTTTAGATGAGTGAGAAAAAACATATATTTAATCAATTTTGAATTTAGGCTGTAGCACAACAAAATGGAATATGTCAAGGGTTATGAATACTTTCTAAAGGCACTCTCTCTCTCTGTCTCCTAGTTACCCAACATGTTTGGGAACGTGCGCTCCACCATCCTGTCTCTAATGATCGGCTCCTACGCCTCTTCAGCCGTCACCTTCCCTGGAGTCAAGGTAGGACAGTTACTCCTCAGCTCTCTCTTTGGGAGTTTAGATCAGTGTTTGTTACAGTAAGCACCTTGTGACAAATGTTGATTGATTGATTGATTTGTTGATTGATTGAGGATTCACAGAAAGGCATTACTTTATGGCTTTACTTGATATCTTGATATATTATTGTTGCATTTGCTAACCTCTTTCCCATACTTCTCTCTCTCCCTGACTCTGTTTCTTCTCTCCAGTTGATCTATGATCTAGGCGTGTCCTTCAGGGTGATCATGTGGGTGTGGTCGGGGCTAGCCGGTCTTGTCTTCCTCAACTGCTTCTTTAATTGGCCGGTGGAGGCTTTCCCCGCACCTGAGGAGATCAGCTACACGTCAGTATCTATGACAACATTACTATCATAACACATTACATGACGTAACTCTGACGTTATAGACTGTTACAGTACCCCAAAATCATTGAATTACAGAGTAGTGAGTTTTTCTTTCACCATTGCTCCAATTCTTCTCTCTCTCTCCCCCTCCCCCGTTCCTGCCTCTCTCCCTCCTCCCTCCCTCAGTAAGGAGCTGAAGCTGAGTAGCGTGGTGATGGATGACAAGACGACGGGGGACAGATTCTACAGTCATGTGACCACGGTGGTAGAAAAGATGGCTCCGAAGCAGCAGGAGCCAGATCCTTCGCCAGAGAAGCTCCCACCTGGAGAACAGACACAGGGTTAGGAATAGCATAGGATCACAACAGAAACGGTTAGAACCGGATAGAGCTGGTTAGAGAACCAGTCAGAACTAAACATAACTACTTAGAACCGGATACAGCTAAATGGAACTGGTCAGAGCTGGTCTTCCAGGGCTTCACCAACCAGAATCAATGGACGATATTGAGCTCAACCCTACTATAAAATCTGTTCAACAATAAAAATGTGTTAACAAATTGAGAAGGTAACCTAGCCCAGTCATTATCATCCAATCTCATGTTTAATTCTTACCCCTGCCCCTCCTTTTATTTCCCCTGACAGGTGGTCCTCCGTTCCGTAGTTCAGTCTGCTCGCCCATCTTCTTGTGGAGTCTCATCACCATGGCGATGACCCAGCTGCGCATCATCTTCTTTATGGGCGCCATGAACAAGATGCTGGAGTTCCTGGTTACCCATGGCGACCCACACCGTAAGGACCGATCAAACCGTTAATAAAGAAAGTCACTTGTAAAGGTTTTAAGTTGTGGGCACTGTCACATTAGTCTTGAGAAACCAGACTGATTTCATAATAGCTCACATTCTGTTTCACTTCACATATCAAGTGACGTGAAACAAAACGTGAGCGCAGCGGTCAGTCTGCCATATCTTTAATCTGTCACATATCTTAATCTAAGGATTTTAGGAGAATTTGTTATGATGTTAGTGCCTGGGAATTTGTGACTTCCATAACTTTCTGTGTGTTTTCTGTTTTCAGCCTCTAAGGATCTATTGATGGAGGCAGAGCAACAAGGTGAGAGAATGAGACAGGTCCTTTTTTGGCATTGGACGCTTGTGGAGAGAGAGAGAGAGAGAGAGAGAGACGAGAGAGAGAGAGAGAATAGAGACGAGAGAGATAGAGAGAGAGAATAGCATCGAGAGTAGCATCTCTTCTCTCTATCGAGATATCGCTAGCTCTCTCTTCTCCTCCCGCGATATACTAATCGCTGCTCTACTTTCTCTAGATCTATCTCTGATCCATCTCAAACTCTGGTCTCTCTCTCGCGTCTCTCTCCTGCTCCTCTCTCTCTCCTCTCTCGTCTCTCGTTTGTTTGCTTACCTAGTGACTCTCTTCTTCACGTTTTCACGACCCGACACTTTCCCTCTCTCCTCTCTCTCAGGGTGGGTTTGATATCGTCATTGTTGGCCTCCCTGCAATCTCTGCCTCTCTCCTTAGCCTCTTCCTCTGATTGGCACATCATGCGACTGGACTCAGGATGAAGATATTTCGCGTACCCCGTGGACCAAGGTGTGGTGTGGGTGTGACAGATAGGAAGCGAGAGCGAAACAGAGAGAGAGCGGAACAAAGAGAGAGAGAGAACAAAGGAACTTCGGTTATAAACCACCCATCTCATCCATCATCCTGATTGGACAGTGTTTACACTTACAGCCCGCCAAAAAAATCTCTGGGCCCTAGGTATTTTAAACACATTCACGTGGTCATTCCTGGCCCCCCAAGTAAACTGCATGTCCTTGTATGTGCCTATTGGTGCCTGGGATGCATTAATAAAAAATCACCACTAGCTGGCGACATAAGCTGTTCATCCCTATGGAGAGATGGACAGCGTTTGACTAATATTGGTGACTCAGCTGTCTTTAAGGGAGAAATAATTCAGAAGAGACCAAGCATGACATGCTTAGAGAGAGCAGGGTTGTATTCATTAGACAGCAATTAAAAAATTATTTTTTCCCTAATAAACACAACCCTTGGTATTTTCCTGATGCTTTAAAAAATGTTTTATCCCTGACCTCTTCTCTCTAGCCAACCTGAACCCCCGAAGAGAGACAGGAAGATCCAGAAACTGACCAATGCCATCCGCGCTTTCATCATCACCAACGTTCTACTGGTCCTCTTCGGAGTCATCCAGATGATAGACAACCTGCCTGTACAGGTAAGAACACAGCCACATGACCCTACCTCACACACCTCACCTGGTGTGGAACGTTTCGATATAAATATATTATATAGACAAACATGCCTCTCTCTGAAATGTAAAAAAAGGAATCACGTCAGCTCTATTTGTGATATTTCGATCTGCAACGTTCCTCAACATTTCCCTAATGAACGTGGCCCAATACAGGTAGGAACACAGTCACATGACCATGCCTACCATACCTACCCCTGTACAGGTAAATGAACATAAAATGCTGATAACTCACCTTGTAACAAGAACCCTGGCTACATGTCAGTTTTAATTTTGGCACTCTTATTTAGATTTAGTCTAGTCTTAGTCATTTTTACAAAAATATATTATAGTCTTAGTCACATTTGTCATTTGAATAATGATTTAGTCTAGTTATTGTCAAAATGATAAACTGTGGGCCATTTTAGTCAACTAAATGCCCTTTCATTTTAGTCATATTTTAGTCGCATCACATTTGTATCTCCTCATTAACCTATAGTATACATAAATCACTGACTTCCATGTGCACAAACATACATAGCCTTGTCCAATGAACATATTTTTCTGCATAACATCCTACATCCTGACAAACATATATAAGAATTATCTGGCCATGTAAATTTCTAATTCAGGCTACATAGATATTGCACATTACATATAAAACAAACAGACACACACAAACGCAGGGAGAGAGGGAGAGTAGCACCAGATGGTGCCGCAAAGTGTTGGCAAAGTAGTATGGGTTGCACCTCCGCCACTCGGTCGTGTCATTGCCATTGTTTTCAACGTTCCACAGAAGCCGCAGCCACATTGGTGTCCGAAAGTATAATGGGGCAGTGGTGTAAAGTACTTAAGTAAAAATACTTTAAATTACTACTTAATTCGTTTTGGTTTTGGGGGGTATCTGTACTTTACTTTACTATTTTTATTTTTGACAATTTTACTTCACTACATTCCTAAAGAAAATAATGTACTTTTTCCATAACACCCAAAAGTACTCATTACATTTTGAATGCTTAGCAGGACAGGACAATGGTCCAATTCACACACTTCTCAAGAGAATATCCCTGGTCATCCCTACTGCCTCTGATCTGGCGGACTCACTAAACATACATGCTTCGTTTGTAAATTATGTCTATTGTTGGAGTGTTGGAGTGTGCCCCTAGCTATTCGTGAATTAAAAATATATATATATCAGAAAATGGTGCTGTCTGGTTTGCTTAATATAAGGAATTTGAAATGATTTATACTTTTACTTTTGATACTTAAGTAAATTTTAGCAATTACATTTACTTTTGATACTTAAGTATATTTAAAACCAAATACTTTTAGACTTTTACTCAAGTAGTATTTTACTGGGTGACTTTCACTTGAGTCACTTTCTATTAAGGTATCTTTACTTTTACTCAAGTATGACAATTGGGTACTTTTTCCACCACTGAACAGGAGATAATGACGGTTTCGCCCAGTGATGTAGTCGAGTCCCAAGTCCCCTGTGCTCGAGTCCAAGTCCGAGTCACAAATGGTCGAGTTGTGAGACCCTATGGCTGAAGTCCCCGTGCTCGAGTCCTGGTCCAAGTGCTCAAGTCTGAGTCACTGGGTCCCCATTTAACTAGAAAAATATTGCAGTTTTGAAACTGCAGTAAAAGTACAGTAACTACAGTCGACTGGTATTCTGGACACAGTAATTGCAGCTACACTGCAAAATTACTGTAGTAAAAAAACTGTTATTTTGGATGCAGTATTTGCAACATACTGCAGTTAGACTGCACATTAACTGCAGTTATACTGCACTCGATGACTGCAATCATTTTTCGTAAGGGTAGTGTAGTGTCGAGTCAATGTTGCTAGTCATTGCTGATAAACAAAGGAGTCCGCTCATACTGAACCTTGATCATAAGTTTTATTCATATCACAAGATTTCAGCATGAGTTTACAGGTGTCCAGATCACCCGGAGAGCGGCGTCCCAGATTGCAATGGCCGCTCTAACCTCTTCTTCGTTTTTACCCAGTATATATAATGTTCCCCAAAATATGGGTGGCTCCCTCTACTGTCCAATCCCCTGTCTTCCCTGGGGCGTCACCCTCAAAACCATTCCCTTTGACACTAAATAAACATCCCCTCAGGTTCCACTGAAAACATTAACAAAGTCATAATCTTAATACACTACAGTAGCGCAGTGGCAAAATAAATTTAGTCAATAAATTGTTTGCTATCCCGTTTCCTTTCTTTCTTTCTGTGCCACAATATCGTTTTGAACGTTCGTTATGGACTGATGCCCGACTGAGCATTCTACTCGATGCATCGTCAATGAGCGCTGATTAAGATTTCAGTAAAAGTGCATTACAGTGGCTTGGAAATAAAATGACATTCAGAAGGAGGCAAATAATTAGTAGGAAAACCTTTTGTCATCATTTTGATGTCGCCAGGTTGACTTTAGATGCAGTATAACGTTAGCTAGCTAAGATTGAGGGGAGGCCACCGTATTTTAGCTCGCTAATGTTAGCATTGCTATCTATTTTTGACGAACGTCACTAGCTAGCTAATGACAACATTGCCATCTGTCTAAAGTAAATTTGACGACATGATAATGCTGGCAAAGTTGTTTCCTACTAAATATTTGCCAACTTTAGCAATGTCATCGTATTTCCAGGCACTGTAATGTAATTTAGACTAACCAGTAGTTAGCCTCCATTCAGTATGACTGGGTTTATTACCACTTTAGGGCACCACTATGGCGCCGCCAGTAGAGGGCGCCTTGAGAACGTTCATAACAATGGCATGATGCGACCGAGTGACGGAAATGCAACCTATGAATGAATAGGCTACTGGTAATGTTACCAGGGTAATGGTCAGTTGCAAAACTTTCTCGAACGTTGCAGATATAAATTCCATCAACAGATAAGACGTTATTCCTTATTCAAAATGTCAGAGGCATGTTTGTTCTACATATCATTTATATTTGAACGTTCCAAAACGTTGCGTCCTGCTGAACGCACCCGTCGGGAGCTTCATTAATTGGGTTTCCATGACCGAGCAGCCGCACATAAGCCTAAAATCACCATGTGTAATGCCAAGCGTCGGCTGGAGTGGTGTAAACTCGCTACCATTGGACTCTGGAGCAGTGGAAACGTGTTCTCTGGAGTGATGAATTACGTTTCCCCATCTGGAAGTCAGACGGACAAATCTGGGTTTGGTGGATGCCAGGAGATCGCAACCTGCCCGAATGCATAGTGCCAACTGTAAAGTTTGTTAGAGGAGGAATAATGGCCTGGGGCTGTTTTTCATGGTTCGGACTAGGCCTCTTAGTTCCAGTCAGTGTTGCCAACTCCTCAATAAGGAAAGTAACTATTGGCTGTCCTAAAAGTCGCTAGAAGTCGCTAAATGACGGCATCACCTAATTTGCATAATTGGCCATGTGCATGTAATTGTGATGGACGCTGTAGGAGAGAGGAATAACGTCGTGGGAGAGACGAAAAGTGAGTAAAAAACACCCTACATTTACATCCTGCCCTGAATGTAAGCCAGTGCGGGATCAGCCAGCGGCGGCTTCCCGCATGCTCGATTCATTTGCAGTCTGGACGCAGAGGGGTGAACATCTCCTGCTCTGACTGCAGCTGGGAGGGACTGCTGCGTGAGGACTGGGCCACCTGTGAGTGCTTTGGGACGGGGGTGGGGCCCCGGCAGCACCCGCTGCTCGTTGAGAAGAGTAAGAACGATACGTGCTTTCATGTCAGAGTTTCCAATAACACCTGAAAAAGTTGCTAGATTTGTCGCTAGTTGCTTTTTTGAAAATGTGTCGCTAGAAGGGTCTGAAAACTCGCTAAATATAGCGACAAAGTTGCTAAGTTGGCAACACTGGTTCCAGTGAAGGGAAATCTTAACGCTACAGCATACAATGACATTCGAGACAATTCTGTGCTTCCAACTTTGTGGCAACAGTTTGGGGAATGTCCTTTCCTGTTTCATCATGACAATGTCCCCATGCACAAAGCGAGGTCCATACAGAAATGGTTGGTCAAGATTGGTGTGGAAGAACTTGACTGGCCTGCACAGAGCCCTGACCTCAACCCCATCAAACACCTTTGGGATTAATTGGAACGCCGACTGCGAGCCAGGCGTAATTGCCCAACATCAGTGCCCGACCTCACTAATGCTCTTGTGGCTGAACGGAGGCAAGTCCCCGCAGCAATGTTCCAACATCTAGTGGAAAGCCTTCCCAGAAGAGTGCAGGCTGTTATGGCAGCAAACGGGGAACCAAATTCATATTAATGCCTAATGATTTTGGAATGAGATGTTGACGAGCAGGTGTCCACATACTTATGGTCATGTAGTTTATCTTTTGAATGGTAAGAGCTAAAATCAAGCCGTTTTCTATGAGGAAAATATTAAGACTTGGCTACATTGGCTACTGAACCTGGCTATGAAATGCAGTGGGGAAAGTGGGAGGGTAGAGCGAGACTACAAATTCAGACTTCTATACTCAAGGGAGATAGACATAGCTAGACTATTGTTTTACTATTAATCTCTCCCAATTACTCCTGAGTGGCGCAGTGGTCTAAGGCACTGCATCGCAGTGCTAACTGTGCCACTAGAGATCCTGGTTCGAATCCAGGCTCTGTCGCCGCCGGCCGCGACCGGGAGACTCATGGGCAGCGCACAAGTCGTCCAGGGTAGGGGAGGGAATGGCCGGCAGGGATGTAGCTCAGTTGATAGAGCATGGCATTTGCAATGCCAGGGTTGTGGGTTCGATTCCCATGGGTGGCCAGTATAAAAAAAATATGTATTCACTAACTGTAAGTCACTCTGGATAAGAGCGTCTGCTAAAATGTAAATCTCAATGCTGCTATTGTTTTAATTTCGTAAAGCAGCTTGTGTTTCTTAACCAGGCAAAGGGTAGCTAACTAAAAGGCTTGTGGGGACTGGTTAGCGATGGGGAAGCAAGAGAGTCGCCAGCGCGATATGTATAATCAGAGGCGGAGCCTGAGTGGCGTCTGTCTGCCCACACTCATCGCTTGCTCCCAGGCAGCTCACCAGCTGATGTTTGCCGGGTGTGGGGCGTCCTTCCCACTGCTTAACAGAACCGCGCTGCGCATCTGTGCTGCTAATATTAATTGTGGTTATCATTGAAAAGCTCTCAATCTCTCCAAAAACTCCTGTTCACTCCACTTAGAAGTCAGATTTTAGTCAGATCATTTCTTCTCGTCTCGTTTAAGTCAACTGAAATGAAAAATCATTTTTGTTTACTTGTAGTTTTTTCAGGGTATATTTAGTCAGTTATAGTCTCGTCAATTGCCACTGAAAAATAGGAGTTTGACGATTATTTTAGTCACAATTTTTGTTGACGAAATTAACTGTCACATCCTGGCTCTGGGGACTCTATATGTTGAGCCAGGGTGTGTATATTCTATGTATTGTATTTCTGTGTTGGCCAGAGTGGATCCCAGTCAGAGGCAACGAGTGTCAGCTGTTGCTGGTTGTCTCTGATTGGGAGCCATATTTATAGAGGCTGTTTGCCCACAATAGTTGTGGGATCTTGTTCCAGTTGGTTTTGTGTTAGTACCGTGGACTTCACGTATCGTTTGTTGTTTTGTTTATTCGTGTGTGCACTTAATAAAATAAGATGTACGAATCTCACGCTGCGCCTTGGTCTACTCCCTTCGACGATCGTGACATTAACACTGCTACATGTTCTTAAACAATCTCTTTGGTTTGGTGTAACCAAATAAAATCCATCCCTACACTATGGAGTTTTAAGGCAAACCTTAAGAAAATGTTAATGCTTTAAGACCGAACAGGCTACTAGAAAGTATAATAGTATTAATGAATGTTATTTCGTTTATTTTATTCCTTTTATTGTTTGCTCTCGATTGATGAGATGATGTGGTCACGTCTACTCCCACTCCAGCGCTCAATGTTTTACTATCCACCGGTCCTGGCAACCCATCATTACGCACACCTGGCAACCATCATTACGCACACCTGGCAACCATCATTACGCACACCTGGCAACCATCATTACGCACACCTGGCAACCATCATTACGCACACCTCCGCACCATTATGAGGCACACCTGGACTTAATCACTACCCTGATTACTTCCCCTTTATCTAGCACTCCCTAGCATCACTCTTCAGGCAGTATTGGTTCTGTGTTCATGTCCAGACGCTGCTCTTGTATCGCTCTGTGTTCATAATAATTATTCAACTCACCACCTGCTTCCTGACTCCCAGCGTCATCGTTACAGATGTGTTGTGTATATATTTAGTTTTCATGTGTTTTCAAGAGGACCACAATGGAACTTTTTTGTGTCATCCTTGATGATTTTTAAATGCAGTGTGGTTGTATTGTGTTTTTAAATGGTCAAATAAAAAAAAAAAACGATTTCTCTCCCTCTCCATCCCCCTATCCTTTTATTTTCCTAATACCTACCTCTCTCTCTTTCTCTCTCCGTTTTCTCTCTTTCCCTCCCTCCCAGATAGTTTCCTTCATCGTCCACACCATGGTCAGAGGTTTCGTCCACTCCTGTGCTGGAGGACTCTATGCTGCTGTGTAAGTACATTACAACATCAACTAAACACATTGTTGGACGTTTGCGTTCCAGCATATTACACCCACGCTATGATCGTCTCAGTTAGATGCATAGTTGTGTGTCAGATAGTTTAAAGAATTGTTTATTACACAATTTGGAAAATGCTATATTACATATTATCAATATTATAAATAGCAGTGAAAGGCAAAATGATTTGATACAATTCACAAATGTCACAAATTAGCGCAAACACAAAAAAATACAACTTTAAAATATGTATTATCTTAACAAAACATTGGTGTTACAGGTAAGGTGTCTGTTTTGGTCAGGTATGGTACAATCAGTTTTGATTGGAGAGGTAACAATTGCATCCCGCCCCTTCCAGATATCCGTCCAATCACTTTGGGACGTTGACGGGGATGCAGTCGATGATGAGCGCGCTGTTCGCTCTCCTCCAGCAGCCTCTCTTCGTCATCATGGTGGGACACCTTGGAGGAGACCCCTACTGGGTGAGGCTACACACACACACACGAACACGCATGCAGAGCATACACACACAGATCACATACATGCGTGCATGCAGACACACAGCACACACATGGCACACACACACACACATGGTGACACTAGTACTTTGCCATTGTACTACTGAGATTGGAAGGCAAATTAATTAACTGATTCATGTGAATGGACAGAAACAGAAAATTGAGGCAATGAGATTTATTAAAAAGGTATGTCTCAAACACGTTCTTTCCCTGACTAACTCTATCCTCCAATCAACAGATCAACCTGAGCTTGCTCATCGCCTCATTGGCTGGATTCCTGTTGCCAGGATACCTGATCTATCACCGTAGGAACCTGATGCGAGAGAAGGTGGAGGAGCGTGAGAGGGAGGCCGCCAACCAACCAGAAAGAGAGAGCGAAACCTTACGGCAATCAGAAAATGGCTATACCAAAAACCATACTAATGGACATCTCAGCAATTAAGCTTATGAATCTTGACCAAACTGTCAAATATCATAGTCGGTAATTGTAAAATATCATTATAGACCATCGTCATGACAATGATGGTTGTCATTTCCGACAAGGACAGTGATGACGATGTTGTGCACTGGAGTTTGGACTTGGGTCCATATCGCCCTTAAGCCTTTTTAATTTGACATCAAAATACACACTAAATATACTCATTAATGTTTTAGGTATGACATGCCAAAGAAATCCTAAAATATACATTTAACTAATATAAATTTTTGTTAAAAACATAATTTCATGCCAAAACGTGATATGGAAATCTCAATGGAAATCAAGGTTTGGCAAATCAATAACTAAGCAATAATATTTACGCTGACCAAAACTTCCATGAAGGTTATTGGTACCATTTCAGGTCACTCTTCCACCAACCAGAAGCACAGCTCTCAGTATTCTGTAGTAGACAGGAAGTTGATCTCTTTCGCTATCAGATTTGTTGGTGTAACATTGAACTACCTCCCCCACCCAACTCTCACCACACCACAGTCACTTCATTCATTTAGGCCTAGCAGCCAGTCTGGTAGTAATATTTTATTGGTCAGTGTTTGTTTGTCTTTCTGTCTTTCCCAGTTCCCTCCCTGTATCTATACTTGTCTTTATTGTGTCTTTACATGCAGTGGAGAATACAGATTAGGAGGAGACAAAGTGGGAAGGGTTGAGAAGGGGATAGAACCTCAGTTTCCCCATCCATTTACCTAGACCACCAGACTATCGGGCCTGCACATCCCTGTTACTTAGACTATCAATCTGCACCTGTGTCCCCTTCTTCATGTCGATGTCAGACCTGTCATTGTAAAGTACTATGCCCACTTGGTCATGTCTGCGGCTATGTCTGAAATGGCACCCTATTCCCTATATAGTGCACTACTTTTGACCAGGGCCCATAGGGTACATTTTCGGACACACCCTGGGTCACTACCGCTATGTCCCTGTGTTCATCCCAGAGTTAGTATTTGAATGTCTCTGTGCATCACAATGTGTCCACCTGAAATGTGGGTAGAGTCCCGAATGGCACCCTATTCCCTATTAAGTGCACTACTTTTGACCAGGGCTCATAGGGTCTGTTTGTTTGGTCAGACTTTGATGGTCCCTCTGTTTTGCGACATTTGATCTTTAGGGGTTGCATCCCAAATGGCACCCTATTTCCTATATAGTGCACTACGTTTGACCAGAACCCTACAGCCAATCATAGCTAAATTCAGGACAGTGGTACAGTGTGTGAGGTGTTGTGCAGGCACAGCCTAGTTTGTAACAAAATTGATGGAATTTTGATTTTAGAGAATCATGTTATTGAACTTGTTGCATATCATGAAATTGGAATGTGAAATGTCTGTGTAGTTATATAGAAATGCCAATCAGTACCTGTCACCGAAACCTTTAAGGTGAGCTATTACACGTGAGCTTTTACGGAGAGCTGTAGATTATTTTTACAAAAAAGTATTTATTTGTATAAACGTGGGTAAGAAAGAGCACTTGTCAAATGCTGATTCAATCTGGTCAACCAACCAACCAACCATCTTGAAATTTTAAACACTATTTACAGTTAAAATTTCTGTATGAGATAAAATAGATGTACAGATGTGTTGCTCAAATCAACTCCAAAAGCTGGTTGAATCTGATCATAAAACCGTCTTCAATATTTAAAAACAATACATGATTTACAGTTAACAGTACTGTATGAGGTCAAATACAACAGTATTTACAGTTAACAGTACTGTATTTGGTTAAATAAAACAGTGTTAGTTAACAGTACTGTATGAGGTCAAATATAACAAACAGTACTACTAGTTAACAGTACTGGATGAGGTAAGATGGATGCACCTGAACCCCAATATCACTGTCCCCATGACAACGACAGTAGAACCACCTCATTGGAGCAGGGCTTCATTTAGCAGGTGCATTGTGGCTGCTAGGCTATTTATTTACCGTGCATCCCAAATGGCACTCTATTCCCTTTATAGTGCACTACTTTTGACCAGAGCCCCCATAGGGCTCTGATCAAAAGTAGTGCACTATGTAGGGTATGGGGTGCCATTTGTGATGGAGACATAGTGTTTTTGACGTAATAGCGCTTGAATCTGAAAGATAATACTGTAATGTATGTAATAATGAATTGAATTATTCATAAAGTAAATGTGTGTGCTTTATTGTAAGTGCCTGGGAAGCAAGTCTTTTTTTTTGCTAGCCCGGTCCCAGATCTGTTTGTGCACTTACCAACTCCATTGCTCATTGTCAAGCCAAACATGGCATGGCAATAAGTGAAAAGAAGTTGACATGATAGCACAAACAGACTGGCACTCTGACTGCTTTTGTGCCCATTCCCACAAAGAGTAATGTAGCGGTATGTATAGTACCGTACCTATAGTGCCTGAATCGCACTATGAGAATGTAAAGCCATAGTTTTGCTACATATGCGTGTTGGAAGTTTTCTCATCTTTTTAAGACTTGAGAGTTGCTTTGCTATTTATTTTATTTGAGCATCTGAAAAAGAACAGTTGGTTCATCCACATCCCAGTTGCTCGCCAACTATGCCTCTCAGAGTAGGAGTGGTGATCTAGGATCAGTTTTGCCTTTTAGATCATAATAAATTAGATAACATGGACAGGGGAGGACCTGATCCTAGATCAGTACTCCTGCTCTGAGATGCTTTATGAATACAGTACATGTGGCAACTGTCACATACTTCCACCTCTGTGTTTGAGAACATTCATTATTATCATTGATCCTATTACATTTGTAATAATAAGATCATATTATGCGGGCAATGTGGTGAAGAGAATGTAAGAGGATCCAAAACAATGTATTATAAATAGGCTTTGAATAGAAAATGTAATATTTAAAGACATGCTCCGGAACTTTGACGACTATTAAGTATTCTTTCAACCTCCCACTTTGGGTTGGATGTGTCAATGTGTAGTTCATACATGCATAATCTATGAACATAATTACTGTCTTACCTCAATTAGCCACGAAATCCCACGTTTGAAAGTGACTATTTTCTGGAAGCTGTGCGGCGCTATTTCTCCTACATTTTCCCCCACGTGGGCCAGCCCCCTAGCAATTTGAGGTTCAGCCAATGAGCTTCAGCCAATGAGCCATTTGAGTGACAGCTAGCAAGATGCACACACAGCAGAGCGAGAGAGAGAGAAATGACGTGGTGCACATCTGTGACATAGTATGCAATTTCCGGGGACCACTTTTGGCTCGTGAGCATTACTTTCAGAACTACTGGCTAAAAAAGTATACAAAGTACCGGAGAATCTCTTTAAGTGATTTTACTGATGTTTTTGGGGTGCTTCTCTTTGTAAAGTAATAAATGAACAGATTTCAACTTGCGAGCCTGTATTTGATTGGTTTCTAGTGAACACGACCCCGGTGTGGGTCATTAGGTCATTCCCTGGCTGAGGGATTACAGAACTGTGTATTTGACAGACCAACTCTACAGAACTCAAACATGGCTGGTGAGTAACCTTCTCAAACTGAAATAAGACACATGGGAACTTTATTTTTCTACCTGTAAAGATAAGGGTGTAACATAAGGCTACAACAACAGGGCAAAGTGAAGTGTCTTTTAGTTAGTAAGAAGTGGCAAGGACGCAAGGAGTCTTATAGTAGAAATTGACCTAAGATCAGTTATGTGTTTCCTCCCCAAATGTTTTTAAGGTAGAGATTGGTGTTGAGTAAACTGATCCTAGATCTGTGTCTAAGGGCAACTTGTAGCCTACCTGGAGTGGGACGCAAACTGCGGATACCTTTTCTTTGCATGTGACTTACACTAAAATAGAAGGATGAATTAGATCGTGTTGTAAATCAGACAATTTTTTCTTAACCCCGTTTCCAGTCTCAATTGCTACTGCATAAAGAGCCGGCTTGTAGATGAGATTCATTATTTCTTATATTTTATTTAGTGTCAGTTAGGGGTGCGGAGCGTTGTAATGCAAAGACACATTTTCGATGAAATCACGTGACACTCAACGGTAACATTGAGGGGTCTATTTTACTGTTTACTATCTTCAGAGATGTTCTTTAATATTTGATACAGGCTTTGCTATCTCCACCTCTGCCCATAAACTCTCCTGAAGGCTGAGGCCTCCCTGTGGGTTCTGGCCCCTCACCCTCACCCTCTACTCCAAATCTTATTCCGTCAATTTATTGAATAAACGGCCAAATTCCATGCATGAATTGAGCCTATCAATGACTTTTGTATTGTTGTGTAACGTAATAAAGTGTCCTCCAATACATGGCAATAACCACCAAGGATGTTACAACTACATTATTATAAGCAGTAAGAGCTACAATAATTCAAATTGGGCTCTGAAGAGTAGATTCATGTCCCTGAAAAATGGCATTGCAAGCTGAGCTATGAAATACACTTCTGAAATATGCCCCTGAAGGTGTTGTTACAGTACATCCACTTTGAAGCAAATATTTGTACAGGTTTACTGTTGAATGCCCCCAATGAAGCGACTTGCATCCCAGTTAGCAATGAGCACTCGGGGGGCCGGCGTCCCTCCAGAGTGGCCAATCGCTGTGCGACAGCTTTTTTGCCCATCGGCCTCACAGGGCAGTTGCGATAGGCCGTTTGGGTCACGCAGCAGCCGTGCTGCTCCCGCTGACATGCCGTTTTCCTCACACAACCCAGCCGCCCTTCTCCAGACCGGCAACACTACAGCTGCCAGTCGGAGCCAGTGGCATACCTACTCCCTGTCGCCACTTATTTTATAATATTTATATATTTGTATTGTTTAAGATACACTGAATACCATGTCCATTTGAAAAGGGTTTGTTGAAAAGTACAGTAAATCATTGTGTGTGTGTGTGCAAAATATATCCGATAACTAGGGGCAGTCCTGGTCACCTGGATCCACTGGTGACATCAAATCCAGTAAATTGTATTGTCATTTACTTGCAGGCTTCTCACACAGTGCAATGGTGACAAAAGTGACATACTGTAG